AGACGACGACGACGACGACGACGACGACGACGACGACGACGACGACGACGACGACGACGACGACGACGACGACGACGACGACGACGACGACGACGATCAAACGCAAAGGTCCCAGCGGTACCGCCCGCATGCGTTTCCCCCCCCACCCAGTGCAGCGATTCGTGGCCCCATAGGGAGCCCCATAGGGAGCTCCACCGAAGGGTCTTCGCTGACATTCGTGCGTAAGCTGCCCGCGGAAGGTCGCGCGTGAGCGCCCTCGCTTCAGATGTGGCGTGCTGCGTTGGTGGCCCGCGTGAGCCGCGGCGTCAGGTCGCTGTGCCATCTTGCGTAAGACCTGCTTTTGATCGTCGCTAGATAGGGTCCGTTTAGATGGGGTCGGAGGATCGCGCCGCATCGCCCACGTATCGAAAATGCGCTTCGAAGTGGAGGCCACGCCAGCGTCGCGGGTGCATCGCCGATACATCGGCTTTATATCGGCGATGCATGGCGATCCTCTGACCCTATCTACTCGGAGCCGATTTGGGAGGCCTCCAGAGAAGCGAGGGGTAGGGTTCGGATATAGCCAGGACCCCGGTAAAGGGAGCCGATGAGTGATGGCCCCCCCGAAATCGCTGAACCAGGTTTGCCGTAGCAGGCGCTCCTTCGTGTGGCGACAGTTCTGGTTAGTGGAATGGTGCGGGGGGGCGTCCTTTGATACACATCACTAAACCAGATCCCACTAAACTCAGCCCAGCCCTGCCAATGTCCGAAAGGAGGGATGGTGGTGTCATCTGCCCTCATGACATCTCCAAGCTTGCTGTTTCTATATCTTCCGATCTGCGTTGTTGCTTTTTATTTTCGAGTCCTTACAATAACAAGTAGCGCGTAGCAGCAGTTGCTGCGTTCAGCGTGTGCTCGTGATCCGGGTTCCGGGAGCCCAGCGGCCTGATCACGCTTCCCCAGGCACGAAACATACGCATGACTGCATATGTTTGTGATCGTTCTTTTATTTATTGTTTTTCCGATCGGCGCGGGCCCTCGCACCCCCCCCCCGTGGAGTAGATTTTGGCTTTTTTTGGCAAGTCTCCCCCATAGGGCGCACTGTTGCAAACAGTCGCTTTGAGCAGAGGTCCGCAGCCAGAGCCCCTCCCCTCCCCTCCCCTCCCCCCCTTTCGCCCACTGTCGAAGCGCCGAATAAAACAAAAAACGCTCCCTTTGCATATTTGGCATGGCATCCGGATCTCGTAGGCCTCGTGCAGCTGGCGCGTCTGCGGCACGCATTCTTGCACAGGCCGTCAGCTTTAGCCGCTCGCAAGAGTATACTACGACTCGGTCGTAGACGTGCTCGTTGCCCGATCGGTATCGGATGCCAGGTCTGTGCAACACGTTGTTGTCCGGTGAGCGTCTGTTTTCGAGGAGTTGTTCGCTCGAACTCGTCGGCACAACTTCGAGCTGGGTTGACGATTTTAAGCTTCGGTGAGCTCATTTCCGCCAGCCCGACGCATGCAAACCCCGCTGGGAGCGCGAAACGTCCCTCGCACCAGACACCCGGCACTGACGCAGCTCTCCCTGCGGACAGCCAGAGTCCAGCCGGCGTCCAGAGGCTGCCCCGCGAGAGAGCGCCCCCAAAAACGTGCGCACCGCCACCACCACCCTCGACCTCGCCCAGTGCCCATAGGACGACGAGGAGGACGAGGAGGAGGAGGAGGAGGAGGAGGAGGAGGAGGACGAGGACGAGGAGGAGGAGGAGGAGGAGGAGGAGGAGGAGGAGGAGGAGGAGCGGTTTGTTCCATGATGCTCCCCCGCGGCCGCAGGGATCCCCGGCATCCCGAGCTCCTCCGGGCTGCGTTTTTCGGCGTTCGCCTTAATGCAACGTCTCCCGGGGGGAGGCCCCGGGTGGGTGGGGGGCGCCCCCTGGGGCGGAGGGGCGAGAGGCGCAGCTCGGAGCTCAGCTCGAGGAACTCAAGCTCCCCGAGCTCTCTCCCTCCTAGCTCACCCCCCGCTGTTAACAATGTTCCCTCCCAGGACGACGGTATTCATAGCGTGAATTACCTACCCACCCCCGGGGCTTTCGCTTCCGCCAGGCGAAAACCAGCCATACATAACGACGGGCGCCTCCTCGTGAAGCGCGCGCCTGACCAGTACATGCTGCAATTTGGCATCGTTTGGTATCTCTTGGAACGAGGTGTCAAAGCGAGGTAGGTTTTGTTTCCTCCTTCCCTCCTTTCCCTTCTCTCCCCGTTTCCCCCCTAGGTAGGACGAAAAGGGGGTACTAGAGAGGGAGGGTGGCAAATCAACAGACGTGGCTGGCTTTCCTGGCGCCTCCTGGCGCCGCACGTATCCTGCGCTGTGCTGTGGCAGGCCGTGCGGGCTCTACTGGCGGCCGGGGGCCTCGCTCGGACGTGTGCAGGTTTCTCGGGGGGGGGGGGAAACACAGACAGACGCAATGCATCGGCGATTCCCAGGAAAATATGGGAAGCGGGGGGGAAGACGAGAACCCAGAAAATATGTGAGAGTATGGGGAATCCTGGGATTTGTGTGTATTTGTTTGCGTGTTAGTTTTTCTCGGCGAGGAGGAGCACCCTGCAGCGCCCGTGGACAACGCCCCGAACTCGGGGCCGTAGGTCTCGTAGAAGCATTATGATACAGAGGATTCCCAGGCACCTGAGGGCACTACATTTCGTGCTCCGGGGCTTCACCTCAAGCATACATTTTTTTTAGCATTGATTGTCAGCCTGTGTGGAGTGTATTCTGACTGTGCATCGTCTCCCCCCACGCCCTGCGGGGTGATCTCTTCCTTGCTCCGTCCGCTGGTTTTACATGTATGTATGTATATGTATGTATGTATGTATGTATGTATGTATGTATGTATGTATGTATTGTATTGTATTGTATTGTATTGTATTGTATTGTATTCTATTGTATTGTCATGTATTGTATTGTAATGTATTGTAGTATAATGTATTGTAATGTGATATAATGTAGTGCATGGTAATGAAATATAATGTATTTAGTGTGCTGTAATGTAATGTAATGTAATGTAATGTAATGTAATGTAATGTAATGTAATGTAATGTAATGTAATGTAATGTAATGTAATGTAATGTAATGTAATGTAATGTAATGTAATGTAATGTATATATGTATGCATGCATGTATGCATGCATGCACATATGTATGTATGCATGAATGTATGTATGTATGCATGTAAGGTATGCATGCATGCATGCATGCATGCATGCATGTATGTATGTATGTATGTATGTATGTATGTATGTATGTATGCATGCATATATGTATGTGTGCATGCATGTATGTATGTTTGTATGCATGCATGCATGTATGTATGTAAGTCAGTAAGTATGTATGTATGTATGTATGTATGCATGCATGTATGTATGTATGTATCTATGTATATATGCATCTATGCATCTATGTATATATGTATGTATGTATGTGTGTATGTATGTATGTATGTATGCATGTATGTATGTATGTATGTATGCATGCATGCATGCATGCATGCATGCATGCATGCATGGATGTTTGTATGTATGTATGTATGTATGTATGTATGCATGCATGCATGCATGTATGTATGTACGTATGTATGTATGTATGTATGTATGTATGTATGTATGTATGTATGTATGTATGTGTATGTATTCACACGAGTGTACATACAGAACTTCGTGCTTCGGGGCGCAGTGGTGGACATGCACTGCCCCAGCAGCGCGAGTCCATCGCAAACCAGATGCTGCGCCCCTCCCCCGAACGTTTGATCACCCGCAGCGCAATCTTGCCGTTGCCCCAGTTTTTTGTTCCACGTGAGCTCTCCGTTTTTCCTGAGACACAATGAGTCGTCGATTCCCAGGAAAGCATGGGAACATATGGGACGTGGGGGGGGGAGACGACAACCCCCCCAAACTACGGGAAACTATAGGGGATCCTGGGATTTGTGTGTACAGTGGAGGCCCATGCCAAGAAGCACCCTGCTTGCCTCCAGGGTGCCCCGGGTTCCTTGTGCTTCGATGCTCTTGCTGTGGAGGGCGTGGCGCTCCCACACCAAGAGTCCCTGGACGTCCTGGTAGCTCAGGGTTGGGTTTCTCGCGAGGTCTCTCGTGGGCTGGCCTCCGCGTCCCTGGGCCCCTCCAGCTTGCTCCTCCCCTCGCCCTCCGCCCCCTGCTCTCCCCGAACCGACGCCGGTCGTTGGTCGTCAGTATCGTTCGACCGATCCCCATCCCCATGCTCGTCCTCTTCGAGACCCCCCCAAATGACACCCCCAGTTGGGGATGCACCCCCTCGAGCCCCGAATGGTACGGCCCATATCCCCGTCCAGGGGGGTGGATCGGCCAGTGGGGCCCAGCCCACGCTGGTGGGGATGGGGATCGGTGAAACCATACTCAGGTCGTCAGGTACTCTGGATCCACAGATCTCAGAGGCGACGATAGGGGCGAATAGACCAGGGGAGAGCAATACACGTATCCAGGGGTGCCGATGATCTACGTCTTCGAAAAGGCCCCCGAACGAGTACGTGTAGTGCCCGCCCTTGGGCTATTCGCCCCTGTCGTCGCCGCCGCACAGATCCCGGTCTACTTCAAGCGACGTCCCACTTCGAGAATCGATCCGCTGTTGCTGTGTTTGTAGTTGCTCTCCTGGAGGGCCCGAACCCGATCCACGGAATTCCCCCTTCCTGCTCCATGTTTTTATTCACGTTATCCGACCGACGTGCATTGTGGCAAACAGGGGGCACACGCACGCACGCCAGCATGACGAAGGGACCGGCCTGGTCGGCCACCGAGCTTGCCCGAGAGAGAGCTCTCGGGGCCCTTCAGGGAGTATTTCGGGCTCTCTTGGAGCCCTCTGGCGGTCCTCGGCAAACAATGTGTCTTCAGCCAGCCTTTCTCATTGGGAGTCTGGCAAGTGCGTTCTCCGCACGTTCTGACGAATCTCTCGGGCTGCTCTTGGGGGACACCTCTTAAGGCTCTCTTGGACGATCTCTGGGCCATCTTGAGGCCTCAGAGGCCCATCGGAGGCTAAACAGGGAGACGTCGACCATCAAATAAGAGCGCACACATGTCCAACGTTTTCGGCCTCGCAGGAGCGTCCTGGGGATGCTCGGACAACAATTCAAACTTAGGAGGACTGCTGGATGACTCTTTCAAGCCATGCCAGGCCATCCTGAGCCACCTTGGTCCAAGCCGTGTGTTGTCCGGGAGGCCATCTTGGGCTACGTGGGGCCATGTTGGAGCCATCTTGGAGCCAGCTAGGGCCATCTTGGACGTTCTGACGATCAGCGGCGACCTTTGTCCAGAGGCCCCCCGGAGGGGAACCCTGGTTTATTTTGGGAGAGCTGATTCGCTGAACCACCCGGAAGGTTAGTGGGATTCTGTTATTCTGTGCCCCTGCCCTTCCTTTGCCTGCTTCTCTTTTTTGCCTTCCGCAGCCGAGGCAAAAGCGAAGGCAGAGGCCGAGGCCAAGGCCAAGGCTGAGGCGGACGCGAAGGCCAAGGCAGAGGCGGATGCGAAGTCCAAGGCTGAGGCGGAGGCGAAGGCCAAGGCTGAGGCGGAGGCCAAGGCTAAGGCTGAGGCCGCAGCGAAGTCCACGGCTGAGGCGGAGGCGAAGGCCAAGGCTGAGGCGGAGGCCAAGGCTAAGGCTGCGGCCGAAGCGAAGACCAAGGCTGAGGCGGAGGCCAAGTCTAAGGCTGAGGCCGAAGCGAAGGCCAAGGCAGAGGCGGAGGCCAAGGCCAAGGCCGAGGCGGAGGCGAAGTCCAAGGCCGAGGCGGAGGCCGCGGCCAAGAAGGCCGTTCGCGCCCACCTCCGCCGCGGCATCTGTGAGCAGAGGGACAGCACGTTGCCTCTGAGGGCGTACGGCTCAGCGGAGGTCACCCCGGCCGCATCTCCCGAGATTGCTCCAGTCGCGCTGGATGCCCCCCCAGCCAAGGCGCCGACAGAAGGCCCGCTTTGGGCTCGGGTGGGGCTCTGGCTTTCGGGCCCTTCTGTAGCTCCAGGTGGGCGAACCTTGTTCGTGGCCGAGGCTCGCCATGGCCAGAGAAGCGCCTTCGTTCCTCATGCAGCGTTCCTTCTCGTGGCACGATCGCTGCATTTCCCCTCCCTCTCCCTTCCTCGCCACCTGCCAGAACCTCCACCACTCCCCTGCCCCTACCGTGCGCTCTCTCCCCTGGGGTGGAGAGTTGTTGGGCGCTGTGAGTCGCAGGGCTCTCGTGTGGCTCCCCTCCGCGACCAGCGCGGGGGGGTGTTTGGGGCCCGGTGGAAAAAAAAGCCCCCCCCCCAAAAAACCCAGCGCGGGTGCGAGCCGCTTACCATACCGACCCTGCAGACGGTGGGCTCACGATGTGGCGCCTCCGCCCTGGCCCCTCGTGGGGCCGGCCCTGCTGGGCGAGGCAGGCGCAGTGTCAAAAGGCCGGGTGCCCCCTCCTCCGCTGCACTTCCCCCTCCACTGTCGGAGAAGGGCCAGCTGACACCACTGGCACTCCCGAACGTAATGGAGGAAGGGGAGGAGGAGGAGGAGGAGGAGGAGGAGGAGGAGGAGGAGGAGGAGGAGGAGGAGGAGGAGGAGGAGGACATGAGGCAGGAGGATTGGGACAGGGAGGAGGAGTTGGGAGGAGGGAGGAGAGGAGGCATCGGATCGAGCAGGGCCAGAAAGTTGTGGGGGGATGAGGACAGGAAAGAGGATGAAACAGGAAAGAGGATAAGGACATGGTCGGCCAGTACACGGTTCCGCTTCCTCGCAGTTTTTGTTGCGAGGAGGATGAGGAAATTGAGGAGGAGGATGAGGATGTTGATGATGACGATGACGATGATGATGATGACGATGTTGATGCTGATGATGATGCTGACGATGACGATGACGATGACAATGACGATGATGATACTGATGATGATGCTGATGATGCTGATGATGATGATGCTGATGCTGCTGATAATGATGATGACGACGATGATGATGATGGCGATGCTGCTGATGACGATGCGTATGACGACTATGATGATGCTGATGCTGATGATGACTACTATGATAATTATGATCATTAGGACTATGATGCAGATGATGATGCTGCTGATGATGCTGCTGCTGATGATGACGATGATGATGCTTATGATGATTATTATGATGATGATTATGCTGATGATGCTGATTATGATGATGATGCTGATTATGATGATGATGCTGATGCTGATGCTGCTGATGATGATGATGCTGATGCTGCTGATGATGCTGATGAATCAGATGGTGATGATGATTGCGATGATGCTGCTGCTGCTGATGATGATGACGCTGACGATGACGATGACGATGATGATGATGCTGCTGATGATGATGTTGATGATGATGATGATGCTGATGCTGATGATGATGCTGATTCTGATGATGATGATGATGGTGATGGTGATGACGCTGACGATGACGATGACGATGATGATGATGATGATGATGATGATGATGATGATGATGATGATGATGATGATGATGATGATGATGATGATGATGATGATGATGATGATGATGAATGCTGATGACGGTGATGATGCTGATGATGATGATGATGATGATGATGCTGATGATGATGATGATGATGATGATGATGATGATGATGATGATGATGATGATGATGATGATGATGATGATGATGAGGAGGAGGAGGAGGAGGAGGAGGAGGAGGAGGAGGAGGAGGAGGATGACATAGGAAATGGACATGGGGAACAACCACAAATCGTATTCAAAAACCATCACCACCTTGAGCTCCACGAGGGACGCGGCGGTATGGTAGGACTCCCGGATGCAGAAGTATACCTGCAATCGCCGCGGCACGAGCAGCACCAGACGCCGCAGGCAAAGTACACAGGAGTTAAACTGCATACGACTTTTTCTCGTTTCACGCAGCACCATCAATTGCATTCATGATTCAACTCTGCTTGCAATCTGCTGGGCTCCCCGCTGGCGTCGGCTGCGTGGGCGTGGCTGATGCTGCCGCGGCCGCTGCCGTCCCCAACCCTCGCAGCAGGGATACCAAGTCGGGCTGCGCTGTTACCGTGGCCGTCCCGATTGCGGCCAGTGACGAGCAGTGCGACGGGGTACCCACGTCCAGCAGTTCTCATGATGGCCGAATCGACTTGTGCCCGGCAGTGCCGCGGAAGAAATCGATATCCTGCAGGAGCTGTGCCCTCTCGGCGCTGGCTCGCCAGCTCGCTGTCTCCCGACCCTTCCCGCCGACTCCGACTTCCTTGGCTCCGCTCTCAGAGGCGTGCGAGCAGTCATCGGGGGATGACGCAGCCTTCAGAACTCCTGGCCCCTCCTCTGCGGCAGCATCCGCAGCTCCAGCCAAAGGGCTGCCATGCCCCGTGGGGGCCCGCAGCGCATCGCATCGCGGCCTGCGGCCAGCAACACACCGCCTCGAAGGGCTGCGGGCTGCTCGAGTGCACTCCCCGGCGCCGCACGTGCGCCGGACGCCGACGGGCTCCAGCACGGGGACCGCAGGCCCTGCGGCGGGAGCGAGATGCGTCGCATCGGCCCTCAGCGATGTGAAGGCGACGGCAGTCGCCGCGCACTTTCTTTCCACTGCTCGCAGAGTGCCTACTCGCAGACGTCCGAAGAGCGCACGTCTGCTTCGATGCGAGAGACCGTACATGCCCCTGCGGCGGATCCAGGCCACTTGCGAGCAGTTATTTTGCGAGAGCTGGAACACGCTTGTCCAGGCAGGCTCGGGCGAAAAAGCACGTCCTGCTCCACCGGCATCGTCTCGTCGGCCGTGCCCGCCTGCGCCTCCCCGCCTCTGAACATGTGCAGATCCGCGGTTCTCAGCAGCGTTATCCAGCTCGGGCTCCTCATCATCGAGCACAGAAGAACCCCTGACCCTGATAACATGATGAAGGCGTGGCCTGGTAACTTAGGTCCCCGTCTTCGCATTAGGGATAATACGTCTGGGCGGTTGGGTTTGATACATCTGCAGAGAAGACCCCCCCCGTATCCCTGATGTTTTTGGCCCTCCTACCTCAGGTCCCCTCCCAAAGGGATAGAGGCTCTTTCAATGCCAATCACCTCGTGCGCACCCGTGCGGCCCAGCCAGGGCCCGCGTTGGGCGGCGCGCAGCTCAGACGCCGAGGCCTGGCTGATGCGCCCAGCCAGGCCGCGCGCCTCGGCGCAAAGCGCCACGCCGCGCCGCAGGCGCGCCAGTCACTCGGGCTGCTGCCCTGCGGCAAGCTGCCTCGGGGTGGGCAGCACGGCGAGCACCCTGGCCGCCAGGGCGCCGCCGCCGCCCGCGGCGACGCCGAGCGCCACCGCGGCGGGCTGCGGCCGCCCGGCGAGGCTCGCGGCGCAGTCCCCAGCCCGCCCCGCTGCCCCGTCAGCTGCTGCCGCAGCGCGGGCGCGCCGCTCGCGCCGCGCCGCCGTGCTCGAACCCTGCGCGCCGCCGCCGAGGGGGCTGCATCCCGCGGCCGTTCCGGTCACCGCAGCGGCGCACCTCTGGCAGCACCAGGCCCAGAGCATGCCAGGCCGGCTTGAGCCAAGCGGTCTCGCGCCCGTCGCGCCCCTGGTCGGCTTTGGGGCCAAAAATGGCGGTGGTCAGGAGGGGGGTGTGGGAAGTTGGGAGAGCTATCTTGAGTGTGTGGGGGGTGGGAGGAGATGTGAGGTGGTAGGGGTTAGGGTGGGGGGGTGGTGGTGGGGGCTAGGGTGGGGTTGTTGGGAGGGGTGGTTGAGGGTGGGGGGGGGAGGTGCGGGTGGGGCGCGACGAGCGCGACGGGAAGGAGGGGGGGGGGGGGGCGGGGGGTGTGTAGGTTTTGTAGTGTGGGGTGAAGGAGGGAGGTGGTTGGAGCGGGAGGGGGTGGTGGTGGGAGGGGGAAGGGATGAGTGGGGGTGGGGGTGTGTGTGGGTTTTGTTTGTGGTGTGGTTTTGTGTTTTGCGGTGGGGTTGTTGATTTGGGGGGCTTTACTTATATTGTGTGTGTTTTTTTTTTTGTTTCTGTCTTTTATTGGTTATTTTTGATTTTTAGCGCTTTTTTTGTTTTGTTTTTTTTAGTTTTCTTTTTTCTCTTTCTTTCTTTTTTTACTTTTTTCTTTTATTTAATAATTGTTATGGAGGAGGAGGAGGAGGAGGAGGAGGAGGGGAGGAGGAGGAGGAGGAGGGGAGGACGAGGAGGTAGGAGGAGGAGGAGGAGGAGGAGGGGGAGGGGGAAGAGGAGGAGGAGAAGGACCAGCAACGATGTTGGAATACACCCTCCCTACAAGCTCCCTCTTCATAGGCCTCTACAAGGGTGCATTTCCACTGAGGGAATTGCCCCGTTTGGGGACAACCATGTGAACATCCTGAAGCGTGCCAGAACACAACTTTCAGGACTTCAACGCCACGAGTTAACCTGACTGTTACGTCTAGGTGATCCTGAATCGTGCCAGAAACCAACCCTGGGACTTCAACACCGCGAATCAAAGTAACTGTTGTGCCCTGACAGTCCTGAATCGTTCCAAACACCAATTCTTGTACGTAAATCATGAGAATCAATAGAAGCAGTCAAATTTTTGAAGCCAGTGTGCGCGGTGCTAAAGCGAGAGCCCCATTCTGAAAACGACCCGCCCTCCGTGAAGTCTTCTGCATTTTTTACGCATGTGTGTGGCGCTGAGGCGCGAGCCACATTTCGAAAACCACCCGCCCTCATCCGTGAAGCATTTTTACATTTCCAACAACGAATCTTGTCGGCGCTAGGGCGAGAGCCACATTCTGAAAACGACCTGTCCTCACTCCGTGAATCTTCTTTCGCATTTTTTACCACGACTGTGCGCGGCGCTAAGGCGAGAGCCACATTGTGAAAACGACCCGCCCTCGATCTCTGAAGCTCCTGCAATTTTTGTGAAACGAATGTGCGCGGTGCTCAGGCGAGAGAAAGCATTGTTTTGTATAAACCATCCAGGGAGGGATTGTGAAACAGGGGTTCTGTTTGGGGGTGGCGGGGGGGGGCTTGGGAGGGGTGGGGGGGGAGGGGGGGTGGGGGGGGGGGGGGGGGGGGTGGGGGGGGTGGGGGGGGGGGTGGTGAGGGGGGGGGGGGGGGGGGGGGGAGGGTGGGGGGGGGGGGGGGGGGTGGGGGGTGTTTTGGTGGGGGGGGGGTGGTGGGGGGGGGGGGAGGGGTGGGGGGGGGGATGGGGGGACGGGTTGTGGGGTGGGAGGGGGGAGCAGGGGGGGAGGGGTTGGGTTGTTTGGTTTTCTCTCTATGCATGGGTGGTTGGTTGGATTTTTTTTTTTTTTTTTTTTGTACTTATTCTATTTTTTTTCTTAATATGTATATTTTTTTTTTTTTATTTTTTTTTTTTTTTTTTTATTTTTTTTTATATTTTTTTCTGGCTCACAAGGTGGTGAGGAAAGTCTCAGGGCGAAACGCACCCGACGCCCGTATGTCGACCGGCCCTTCGGGGTGCGACGGGAGGAGCCATCTATAAGGAAGAGGACCAGAGAGGGGAAGGGAGTGAGGAGGGGGGAGGGAGGGCGGGGAGGGACGGCCGAGGAGGGGGAGGGGAGAGGAGGAGGACGAGGAGGAGGACGAGGAGGAGAGCGCTACAGGCTAGATCCTCAAGTCGGGCCAACCTTGAAAAGGAGGAGGATGAGGAGGAGCAGGAGCAGGAGGAGGAGGGGGAGGAGGAGGAGGAACAGGAGGAGCAGGAGGAGGAGGAGCAGGAGGAGGAGGAGGAGGAGGAGGAGGAGGAGGAGGAGGAGGAGGAGGAGGAGGAGGAGGCAGAGAGGACCGGGATGTCGGGGCGGGTCGCGGCGTGGCGACGAGGGGCGTGCGAGGCCCAGGCAGACGGAACGCGTCGCCTCTCGCTCGGACGCGGGTACGGCAGCAGGCCGCCCGCACGCCGCGCAGCGCGCGGGCACGCGCGCGCCCCGCGCGCACCCGCGGCGTGCGGCGCGCGCAGAGTGCGCTCGGCGCGCGGGGGCGGGCGCAGCTCGGGCCGCCGGAGCCGCTGCCGGGGAGGCCAGTCCACGAGAAACCCTGCACGAGAAGCCCAACCCTGAGATACTCCAGATTTCGTAATAAAGGGAGGGGGGTCTCATTTCGGGGGGGGTCTCTTCCAGGCTATCTTGGAGGGCCTGGGGGGTCTGGGGACGATGTTTTGGAGGGTTCTCCCACGGGGGAGGTCTGAAATGGCTTTTTCTGGAGGGTCCAGACCCCCTCCCTTTTATTACGTAATCTGGAGTACACTGGCCTCGTGAGGATGGGAATGCGTTCGCCGATGCTGGTCATCTGCTTCGACCCCTCCCTGGCACCACGGGCACCCGCGCCTGCGGCTGCAGCTGCTGGGCCGGCGGGAGCGGCACCCTCGTCACCGTCGGCTCCCGGCGCAGCTGGGGGCGCGGCGGAGCTCGAGAGAGTCAGGTCAGGGTCAGGTGGCCGTGCAGTGGGAGGCCAGTCCACAGGAAACCTCCCACAAGAAACCCAACCCTGAGACACCAGGACGTCCATGGAATTTTGGTGTGGGAGCGTCGCGCTGTCCATAGCAAGGACATCGAAGCCCAAGACACCCAGGGCACCCTGGAAGCAAGCAGGGTGTTTCTTGGCATGGGTCTCCACTGTACAGTCATCGTGCCACTCCCAAACTCACGCCAACGCAACGCAGCACGGCCCACCTCCATCGCTCGCTCGCTCGCTGCCTAACGACGTCTGTGATCGCTGCCGATCCTAGCGGGGGTGATGCAAGCAAAAGGGGAATCGGGGTATCCGAGCAGTGCAGGGGTAGGAGAGGACATCAGGGGTCCTCCCTCTTCTCCCCGTCCTCGCCGTCCTCTTCTGTTTCCCTTTTCCTACCCCTCCCCCCGGCGTGTCGGGGATCTTTTTGTGGGCTCACCGTATCCTGTGTCCTGCATCCTGTCTCCTGTATCCAATCCCTTCCTTCTCCTCGTCCTCGTCCTCCTCCTCCTCCCCCTCCTCCTCCTCCTCCTCCTCCTCCTCCTTCTCCTCCCTCCTCCTCGTCCTCATTACCTAACCTATCTCCTCTCCCTCCTCCTCCTCCTCCGCCCTCCTCCTCCTCCTCCTCCTCCCCCGCCTCCCTCCTCCTTCCTCCTACTTCTCCTATTTCTCCTCCTCCTCCTTCCTCCTCCGCTCCTCCTCCTCCTCCTCCTACTCTCGCCCCCTCGTCCTCCTTCTCCTCCTCCTCCTCCTCCTCTCCTCCTTCCTCCTCCTCCTCTCCTCCCCTGGCTCTCCTCCTCCTCCTCTCCTGCTCCTCCTCCTCCTCCCTCCCTCCTCTCGCTAACTCCTCCCCCTCCTCCCCCCTCCTCCTCCTCCTTCCTCCTCTCCCTCCTCCTCCTCCTCTCCTCCTCCTCCTCCTCTCCTCCTCCTCCTCTCTCCTCCTCTCCTCCTCCTCTCCTCTCCTCCTCCTCCCCCTCCACTTCGCCCCCGCCTCTGCCTACTCCCCTCGACCCCTCCCCTGGCGGCCGGTGCGCGAGCCGCCTCGTTCGCTACTCGCGCACGCGCTCGCCGCCGCCGCCGCCGCCGCGCCCTCCGCCGCCGCCGCCGCGCGCCGTTCGGCGTCGTCGTCGTCGTCGTCGTCGTCGTCGTCGTCAGTGCGTTCGTCGTCGTCGTCGTCGTCGTCGTCGTCGTCGTCGTCGTCGTCGTCGTCGTCGTCGTCGTCGTCGTCGTCGTCGTCCTCGTCGTCGTCGCTGGCCGGCCCCGCGAGCCGGAGGCAGAAGCTCCGAAGCCGGCGCCCGCGCCTGCGCCGGCGCCGAAGCCTGCGCCCGCGCCCGCTCCCGCACCAGCTCCGGCGCCGGCGGCCGCGCCGAAGCCCGCGGACGAGCCCGCGGACCCCGAGCGGGCACGGCCAGGGTTTGCCGAGCGCGTTCCACTGCTCGCAGAAGGGCCTTCTCGCAAACGTCTGAAAACACATGTTCATGTCGATGTAATGTGTCGTGAATCCCCCATGGCGGATCCAGACCACTTGCGAGCAGTTGCTTTGCGAGCACTGGAACGCGCTTGTACAGGGGTGTTGCCACAGAGACTGTCCGACGTTTTCCGGCGGTGTCGTGGGTTCTTGGAAGCTGCCCAACCTCGGGGTGCCCTCCAGCAGCTGCGCCTCGCCGAGGGCGTTCCGTGGGCGCCCGGATCGTCCCGAGCGGCCGCCAGAGCCCCGAATCATGATCCGAAGGTCAGGCGGGCGGGTGGCGCGGTGGCTCTCCGAGGAGAGCTGGTTCCGACAATGGCAGTTGGCCTCGGCAGCCTTGAGACGGGGGTCAATGCAAACGGGGGTCAGCCAGAGCGCCGGATCTTGCAGGATCCTGCAGGGCCAGGGTCGCACTGACCCGGGTTGGGGGGCAGGATCTTGCAGGATCCTGCAGGATCGTTCGCGTTGACCTGGGTTTGGGTTTGGGTGCAGGATCTTGCAGGATCTTACAGAGGATTCTGTCAGGCCTGACTGACCCGGGTCTGGATGGATCCAGGTCAGAAGATCCTCGATGGCCCTCGGGAGCCCCCCCCGTCGACACGGCTGGACGCAGCTCGAAAAACTGGGGCCTTTGGACTCCAGGAGGAGGAGGAGGAGGAGGAGGGGGAGGAGGAGGGGGAGGAGGAGGAGGAGGAGGAGGAGGAGGAGGAGGAGGAGCCGTTGGCTGGACTCGCCCTCCTCCGAGGTTCGGGTCGGACGAAACAGGGGGGGGGGGGGTCGGCGGCGAGCGAGGGGGGGAAGCGAGAGCCGAGCATTTGAAAAACGTCTGCTACTGGTTGCGCCCTCGTTGACCGAAAGTAAAACGTTCTCCTAATTGGTTGCGCCATAGGTTGCGCCCTCGGCGGCCGAAAATAAAACCGTCTCCTCTTGGTTGCGCCATAGGTTGCGCTCTCGGCCGCCGAGAATAGAGCCGTCTCCTACTGGTTGCGCCATAGGTTGCGCCCTCGGCGGCCGAGAATACTTTGGGGTGGAGGGCAGAGGATGGAGTCTGAAATGCCGTCTCGATGGGTTTTCGAGGCCTGAGTCTGCAAGAGGCGAATCACGAGACGGATTGAATTTCCGAGGTGCAAGACCAGGAGGGGAACAAAAACACACACAGACAGAATTCATCTTCCATTCCCCCGAGAGTATGTGACAATACGGGAAGAGGGGGGGGGGGAAGACAAAAGCCCAGAAGATATGGGAAGACGTGGGGAATCCTGCGATCTGTGTGTGCTTATCTGGGCGCCCCTGGGCCCCCTGACTCAAAAGCCCACATGGATTTCGCTCTGAGCCCTCCACCCTAAGCTTAAGTCGGGCGTGTCCCCCTACAGGGGGATTTTCGACGAAAAATAAAAAATGCCCCAACAACACCCCAGAAAGGTAAAAAAATGTTCAAAAAATAGTCCCCAGACTATTTTTGGATTATTTTTTCATTATTTTTGTGGTATTTTTTATTTTTCGTCGAAAATCCCCCTGTAGGGGGACATGCCCGACTTTGTTTTTCGCGGTTGTGGAAGAAGTCCCCTCTTCCTTCCGCTGCGGCTTCGCGCCATCCTCGCCTTCCTGCTCTTTCCCCTCTTCCGTTTCCCCTTCCTTCTCTTCTTCCCTCTTCCCTCGCCCACTCGTCCCTTGTCCCTCCTCGCCCTCATCGTCGTCGTCGTCGTCCTCCTCCGTCTTCTCCTCGTCCTCTTCCGTCTCGGGCTCTTTAAGTTTTGGAGGTGTGGTCCGCTTCGTCACCGGCTCCGCGCGCCTCTTGTTCGCGCGGCTCGTTCGGAGGCTGTCCAACTGCGGTCTTGCCTGCGAAGTCGGCTCTGGCCCGTCTGGCGGAGACTCGGACTCGAGCGATGGCAGGTCGCACAAAGTTTTGACTTAATAAAGATGTCGGTTCCTTCGAAGAAGAAATATCAGCCAACGTAGACCCAAAGCAGTACGTTATTGCAGCGTGGATGTGTAATCTATGTATGTGGTACAACTTCTGTGGTGTGAGCTTTGTGGTGTGGTATACGTGGTGCAGGCTAGAGGCAGCATCGGGGCAGCAAGGGGCGCCAACGTGGCGAAACCTCGCCAGAACCCACCCAGCGCACGAGGTGGCCAAGAGGCGGCCCCGGGAGGCAACGTGGCGACATCTCGTCAGATCCGCCCAGCGCACGAGGCGTCAACGAGGCGGCCACAGGTGGCAACGTGGCGAGCCCAGTGTACGAGGCGGCCACGAGGCGGCCACGGGGGACAACGTGGCGAAACCTCGCCACACCCACCCAGCGCACGAGGCAGCATCGAGGCGGCCACGGGGGACAACGTGGCGAAACCTCGCCGGGCCCACCCAGCGCACGAGGCGGCGGTTACGAGGCGGCCACCAGCGGCACCGGGGCGGAACCTCGCCCGACCCACCCAGCGCACGAAGCAGCCACGAGGCGGCCACGAGGCGGCCACGGGCGGCAACGTTGCGAAACCTCGTTGGGCCCATCCATGTCTTCGTGAGTGACAGAAGGAAGAAACCCGAGGTGCAAGCACCGCTTTGGGAAAATGGAATTGACATACAACTTCAGAACTCCTTGCAGATTGATTGGGTCGGCGCTGTGACCTCCTGGCGCCAGGGCGAAACAACAAGCTACAGATGACTGGCACAATCGTATACGTAAACTGTACGGTACTCGCCGAGCGTCTGGGGAGCATTCCGTTGCCTGGTCATGTTTTTGCTGGCCCACAGTCGTTCCCCCGAGGCTGTGCAGGGCTTCTTGTCGTGGAAACGAAATGTATGCCCTTTCCATTGGCCGTCTGTTTCTCGCAGAGAGAGAGAGAGAGAGGAGGAGAGAGAGATAGAGAAGGAGAGACAAAGAGAGAGAGAGAGAGAGAGACATATATATATATAGAGAGAGAGAGAGAGAGAGAGAGAGAGGTGTGGCACAGTGGAGGGGACCAGGGATGAGCGGCAGCAGCCTGCTTCCCATACAGAGCGTGGGCAGGACAACACGCCCTTCCTCATCGGTGGCGGTGTCCTGGCGGGCGACGCCGCCTGCTGCCGATGCCCACGCGCGACCCTTGCCCGTCCGCAGTCGCGTCGCCCACTCGCTCGGGATTGAACTCGGGTCTTTTGCGGCCGTGCGGGACGATGCGGGCACCCCCGTACCGCTCTCGCCGAGGCACCCCGAGGCTGAGAAGCCCACCCGCGGCCTCGCCCATGCTGCGGCTCACGCTCCGCTGTTCCTGGATGCCCGCTCCGCACTGCACCGCGCCTCTCCTGCCCAGCCTGCCCGCGAGCTGGATGGCCTGGTCCTCGTTGTGCAGAGAGACTCCGCTGCGAGACTCTGCGCACCGTGCCGCCTTGGACTGTCCCCGAGGCGTCGTCGATCTTCGGCCAGGGGATGGCACGCTGCACAGTTTTTCGGTCCCCCGAGCCGGGGAGCTGTGCACCGTGCCGCGCTGAGGCGGGGCCCGAAGGGAGTCCAAACATGGGGCGTTGCACGGGTGCCGTTCTCGTATCAGGGGGAAAAGAAGCACACAGACCTCGATTCCCCAGAAAATATGGGAAACTATGGGAAGTGGGGGGGAAGATAGAAACCCAGAAAATACGGGAAATATGGGGAATCTTTTCATCTGTGCATCGTAGCAGAGAGGCTCCTACGCTGGGCCCCGCTGGTGGTGCCTCGGGCGGCGCCAGCGGGGCGCGCTCCGCGCGCCCGAGAGGGGGCTCTCAGCGCAGGCCCCAGGGATCCGCGCGGACCTCCGAAAGTTTACGCGTGTGCAGTTTTTTGTCCTCTGCTGAGGGGCCCATTTTCCACCACCGCTACCATGTGTAGGAGGAGGAGGAGGAGGAGGAGGAGGAGGAGGAGGAGGAGGAGGAGTGGAGGGAGGTGGAGGAGGAGTGAGGAGGAGGAGGAGGAGGAGCTATGGAGCTACGGCCTCAGCGCGTGTCCCGAGTGCTAGCTCGGCCGTCTCAGCAACTTCACTCAGGGAATTTCATTCCCGACTTTGGAGGAGGAGGACCTCCTCATCCTCACTTCTCCCCCGGCCCGCATGTGGTAGTGGTGGTGGAGAAGTTGTCCATCATCTGCCCAGGCGCTCGAGACATCCTCGGAGAGCGATCGAGTGCCCGGCCGGTCCCCAGGTCGGCGGCGGGGGCGCTCGGCGGTTCGCTCTCTCGGCGCAGCGCGGCCTGGGCTCGGAGAGGCTGCCCTTCTCCAGGGGGCCTCGCGGCGGCGCGAAGACAGCCCACGCCCTCATGAATCGCGGGGCGCGGTGTGGGGGGGGAAGGCGAAAACCCAGAAGATGTGCAACAAATAGGGGGAACTCCCAGGATTTGTGTGTGTGTGTGTGTGTGCGTGTGTGTGCGTGCGTGTTTATTTGTGTATCCCTGGGCCCCCTTCAGGGACCCAGGGCCTGGCCGCCCCGAATCGCACGTGGCTCCTCTGGACGGTGTGGCCGCCGGGCTGGCCCCCGTCGCCCCGCGGGCGCCGCGCCGCCGCGCCCGGGCCGCGCGGACCGTTGCGCCTCTCTGGCGGCGAGCGAGAAGGCGAAGCGAGAATCGGGGGCCACATGCGAACCCTACCCCTACCCCCCACGATCTCTGAGGGGGAGGGTGGTGTGTCTCAGGGCCCCTTCAATATTGAAAAATAGTCAAAAAATGTGATGGGGAAGATTTTAAGTATATTTTTGGGCATTTCGGTGGTATTCTTTGACTATCTTTCATTTTTCGTCCCAAAGCCCGCCCGTAGGGGGACGTGCCCGACCCAAGGCTAGGACGGGGATGAATCCCAGGGGAAGCAGAAGCGAGAAGGCGCAGGCCCTCCCAGAAGGCGGCGGGGCTTCTCCGAAGCCCCCGCGCCCTCTGGGAGGTCTTGCTGTGCCTTCGGGGAAGGCTTAGGGAACTTCTCAGACGGCTGGGGGGCCTCCGAGCCCTCCGAGGAGGCCCGCCCCCTCTCACTTCCCCCCTTGGGCTCGCCGCCGAGTACTTGGTGCCCTCCCGTGTCGCGCTCCAGGGGTGCGGCACTCCTACCCCTCCCGTGTCGCGTTCCAGGGGTGCGGCCCCCCCCCCCACCGTCGGACGGGGCTAGGGCGAGGACACAAATGCGTTCCAGAGCGTCCCATAACGCTCTCTCAGAGCGTTCCGGAACGCTCTTGGGGGGCCGCGGCGCCCGAGACATCCTCCAGAGTTAGGTCGGGCATGCCCCCCCTACACATGCGGATTTTGGACGAAAAATTAGAATTACCACAAGAAGTACCCCCGAAATACCCTAAAATTGTCAACCAATCGTCCCCAAAAAGCTCCGAATAATGTTCAAAGATGGTCCAAAACTTGGTCGGAAAATAGTCTCAAGTTTTGTTGTTATGTTTTTGTTTTTCCCCCTATGTTTGAATCTTCCTCCTGTAGAGGGACACGCCCGACTTGCCCGCGGCGACGCCGGCTGGGGGCCCCCAGCTCGAACGCGGCCAGGCTGTAAGTCGGGCTCGTCCCTCTACAGGAGGAATATTCAAAGATAGTCAAAAATACGCTGGGGATGACTTTAAGTATGTTTTTTTTTTGAGCATTCCTCTACAGGAGGAATGCTCAAAAATAGTCACAAAATACTCTGGGGATGATTTTGAATTTATTTTTGAGCATCTCGGGGGTACTCTTTGACTATCTTTCATTTTTCGTCCCAAAGCCCGCCCGTAGGGGGACATGCCCGACCCAAGGCTAGGACGGGGATGAATCCCAGGAGAAGCAGAGGCGAGAAGGCGCAGGCCCTCCCAGAAGGCGGCGGGGCTTCTCCGAAGCCCCCGCGCCCTCTGGGAGGTCTTGCTGTGCCTTCGGGGAAGGCTTAGGGAACTTCTCAGACGGCTGGGGGGCCTCCGAGCCCTCCGAGGAGGCCCGCCCCCTCTCACTTCCCCCCTTGGGCTCGCCGCCGAGTACTTGGTGCCCTCCCGTGTCGCCCTCCCAGAAGGCGGCGGGGCTTCTCCGCAGCCCCCGCGCCTTCTGCGAGGTCTCGCTGCGTCTTCGGGGAAGGCTTATGGGAACCTCTCGCAGGGCCGGGGGTCTTCCGCCCCTCCCACGCCCAGCCCGGCCCGGCCAGGGGCGCCCCCGGCCAGGATCGAAGCAAAGAGCGGCAGGCTCTGGGCGCCAGAGGGGCGGGGGGTCCATGCGAGAAAGGGGGGGAGGGTTCAGCCAGGGCGCCGGACCCTGCAGGAAGTGGGGCGGGCCCCTCTACAGGAGGAGTGCTCCAAAATAGTCGAAGAGTAGCCTGGGGGCGTTTTCCTCACTACTTTGGACCCTTTTGGGATGTTTGTTTTTGGCGATTTTTCGAATTTTTCGTCCCAGATCCGCCTGTACGGGGACATGCCCGACCTAAACCTTGCAGGGTCCTGCAGGGCCAGGGGTGCCCTGGTGATCGTTATTTTTCTTCATGGTTTTGCCGGTCGGCGCGCCTCGCCCCCCCCCGCCCCCCCCCCCCATGAGTAGCTTGGCTCTTTGTGGGCCTGTTTCGAGCAGGTTGGGAATCCCGTCCCGTGGACGAAACGGTTTGCAAACTGTCGCGTCTAAGCAGAGGTCTGGAGCCAAGCCCATTCCCCCCTCCCCCCCCCTTCCGCCCAATGTCGAAACGCCGAATAAGGAAACGCTCGCCTGATCCGGGTTTGGGTGCAGGATCTTGCAGGATCCTTCAGAGCCTGATTGGCCCAGGTGTGCACTGAACTGGGTCAGCGCGTCCCCGACATGCGGTGCAGGGGCCCTCTCCTCCGAAGCCGCAGCTTGTTCGTGGCGTGAGCCCCGTGTGGACCCGACCCGCCGAGGATAAATTCATCCCTAACCTCAGGAGTGCAAGAAGAGTACGCATTGCGCGAACATTCGTATCACGCGGCTGGTCTCGCGGACGGGGGGTGCCTTGTTCATGTACACGGGTGGGCGCGTACGTCCTTGGTGTGGGCTCCCAATTTTTGGGACGGAGGATGAGGAGGAGGCGGAGGAGGAAGAGGCGGAGGAGGAAGAACGCCTGATGACGCAGTGAAGACGTGCCTCACTCAGGTCCTCGTCTTTGCATTCGGGGAAAGACATCTGTGCGGTCTGGTTTGATACTTCTGCAGAGCAGATCCCCGATCCCTAATGTTTTGGGCCCTCCCAACGCAGGTCCCCTCCCAAAGTGTTAGGGGGGTTCTCTTGTTGCTGGTCATCGACCCCCGCCCCAGGGCCGGCTTCCCATCCCGAGCGGTTTTTGCACGGCCCCCGGGCCAGGAGACGGGGCCCCGCAGCCGCGCGCAGAGGGGGGTTGCGGGGGAGGGGGGAGGGCTCCTTGGGAGGCATCCTTGCTTTCTAGAAGGCGCGGGCCTCGTCTGCAGACGTGAGGCCCGCGCCTTCTGCGAAGCAGAGCCTCCTTCCAAGAGGCCTTCCCCCCCTCCCCCTGCCCCCCTTCTGCGCGCTGCGGATTCCAGATGCCGAGATCGTCGAAAAGCTGGCCGTCACTAGCTCTTTCGAGGCCTGGATCGGAGAGGGTGGTGGGGAGGGGTGATCGGGGCAGACCTGGAGTGGACGCGGCGCCTGATGCGTCCTCCAGACATGTCGTCTCCCAGAGATCCCAGTCTACAGTCAACCCGCACAGGAAGGATGGGCGACTTTCCTGAGGGTACCCCCTGCGTCCCGGCCTCCTCGGGTCCATCCTTGGCACTTTCGCTGGCGGCTCCCCGCTCGAAAAGCCTCGAAACGGCCTTCCAAGGCCCTTGCATCTTTACCGTGCATCGCTATGAGACGGGTCGACTGTACGAGGCGTTCTGCGTCAAGGTCCCCACGAGCGAGATGCGAGACTTCCCTCCAGCTCTCCCCCCGTCCGCCCCCCCGCACTCCCAGTCGATGTCAGACGATCGCGTCACTGCCCGAGTGCCAGAGGTATACGGGCCCACGCTGTCCCTCCGAGTTCGAGATTGGCACGGCCTTCGGGCTGGCAAGGAGTAGCGTACAGTCAACCCGCATAATGAGGATGGGCATCCTTCCCAAGGGTACCCTTGTATCCTTGCCTCCTCGGTCCATCCTTGGCCGC